CGCTTGCTTCGCTTGCTTCGCTTGCTTCGCTTGCTTCGCTTGCTTCGAGGTTCGTGTGGCACAAGTCTCTTGGGAGATGATGCGCCAGGCCGGATTTCATGCGGTCAGAGACGATTGGAGTTGGGGAGTTTCATAGTAGACTGGACCCTTGAGACCCTTTGGTTTATTTAAAAGGATTTACCTGTATATTTAGAACACCCTTCTTGTGTTTATGACTGGACCCTTTGATTTATCACCAACATTCACCAACCATCAAATGTGCCTTGAAAAAAGGGGTTTCCAATGCAGTTCTATGATCTATAAGGATTGGCAAGTGTCGTCAGTGGAGACGCTCTGAACCTGGCTGCTCCATCCATCCAGGACTCACCGAACCGCTCGCAGGTCGCCCAGGACCGCTTAGCGCCCTTCACCCGGGCGCGCGACGTGCGCCTCATGCGACCGTTGGCCATCGGCTTGGCCTCGAGCGTCCGGTGGCACCTGGCGTTGCAGACGGTGCGTGGCCTGGAGGAGTTCGGCACGTGGGAGGGGACTGCACCGAACACTCGTGGTTGAACAAGTGGGACGTGGAAGGCCAGTTTCGGTGGCCAAAACAAGTTGAATGGCCAAACAAGAAGATTCATTCTGAACTGTTTTAGCCTGCAAAGATGGACTATATAAATGCATCCATTGTGCCATTGTAGGAGAAATTCATAGACATTCACCATCATACATCTTTTTTCAGAGAGGACTCACAAATCCTTGCTATCCCAGAAGGCTATTCACTCAAGAGGATACCCCTTGCATTTGAGAGGAGTTCATGAGCGCTCATCAAAAAGCGTTAGCAATTAAAAAAAGCAAACACCGTATTTCGGAGAGATGTCATTCTGAATACTCAGCAGAGGGCTGCGTGGGTGAGATACATCCTTGAAGGAACATCACAACAGCTATTCACAAGGAGCGTGCTCTTTCTATTTTTTTTGTGTGTAAAGCCAGTGTAGAACAACGTTTAGATGTCAATCAGCAAATGATCGTGGCAATTTTTCAGGTTTTGCAGCGGCCCTTTTTCTCCCCAAGTCACATGGACTGACCCAGTTCCTGGCACTCGTCCAAGGCGAGGTGGTGGATAACTCCGACATTGATGCCTGGGGCCCAAGAGGATTCGTCTCCCCCTAGTAGCTTCTAGCTACTAGTAGTAAGGGCCTCCAACCTACTAGCGATGGCCTGCAGCCTAGCAGCGATGGCCTCCAACCTAGTACCTGGAAACATGAAGGCAACAGATGTCAATCTCTTCCGAATCCCTTCCCCAAAAAGAATGTCCGACATGAATTTCTGGCACGTCCCCCAGAAAAGCCAAAGTTTGGGGGGAAGATGTCTAGCAGAGAATCTATTGACCCTGTGAGTGCTTTGAAACAACCTCGTGGTGCAAACTTCTTGCAAACATGCTGGTTGGTATGCAACTGCCTTCACCGGAGTGGTCCACAACATGAACGTTCAATGGTTCGGTATTTGGGTGCTGCGGGGGTGTATTCTTTAGGTTTTGCCATTCAGTCAGAAGGAACGGTGAGTATGATATCAACAACATTCCTGCTTCAACTTTATCATACTTGATCCTTTCGGCTTTGCTTTCTCAGTTCCATCTCCTAGTCTCCTATCAATCATATATTAATTTATATATATATACTGCAGCGGTTCTGGCAGCGCTACCCAACCTCCCAAAAAGATGGTCACATCGAGTGACAGTGCGTACGTTTCTTTCGGTCCACGCTGGTCCAGCTGGGATCCAAGACATCCAAGACATCGAAGCGCAGATCGAGCGCGCACGGCCCGGGCAGGTCGTGGCGGTGTCCTGGGGTCCACAAGCCAAGCCTTTGGTGGCAGATGTGGCTTGCCGTGGCACGCAGGCGCGGCAGGCGGTGCGTAGGACAACGTGGGACAACGTGCGGAGAGCTGGGAGACCATCATCGACAGTGAAGAACTTGGCACGGACAGTGGGAGTGATTCGGAATTCGTTGCAACTGAACAGATTCAAGTGTTTGGACATGGGATCTCGAGATCTGGTTTGGGTTACCCACATGGCTTTATACACCGAACCTCAGAAGGTAGGCAGTGATGTTCCAGTCTCCGAACCGATCAGATGTTTGTAAGGGCCCTTTCCGGAGAGATCAGCCCACAGCAGCAGTTCCAGTGTCGCGATGGCTCTTTGTTCGGGGTGCCACCTGTCACATCCACTCACTGTCCAAAAAACAACCTTGACACTTGACATCGATCTCCTGCTTTTTTGCAGGACTTATACCTTTTCAGGGACATAATATGTATTAAATATATGTAACATAAAGCAAGATCCACCTTGGTCTAGTGGGTACTGGTTTGCTTTCCCCTTACCCAGTTTTAGTGGATTCAGTTCACTAGGAGTGAGAAGAAATCAACCCGGCGAGCCAAACATCGGGCCAATACTGGATTCGCCATGGACTTCTGTCAGGAACTATCCCTAGCGCTCCACCCCCCACATCCCCAGCATGCTAGTTAACCCCCCACAAACCACCCACCCTAACCACCTTCGAAACGGAAGTCGTTAGAGGTTAGAGTCCTAGGGTACAAGCTTTTCTTGCCATACTTCCTTGGAATATTTTTCCGACGCTCCGCGGGGCGCGTGGACATCCGTGGGAGGCCATTGATGTGGGTCGATTGCTTTGGGAGCTTCATGGCAACAGCGCGATGTCGGGAGAGCTCCTGAAAACGACCGCCCCGCCTTGCGCCAGTCATTTTCCAGGGTGCACCCCCTGCCGTGCAAGACTTCTGCACAGAGATTATCTATAGGATGGATGACTCTCAGTTTTGGGTGGGAGGACTTTGGATAATTTTAGAGCTGTGGGGTGTGTGGATGGGATAGAGAGCGAGTTGATTGATTTGTTTGGTTGAACATGAAGGGATGACTAGTGTTAGGTTTCACGACTTTTGCGTAGGATGGTTGCATTCCTCCCAGGACCATTTGAGTCCAAGCTTGACACTGTAGTAAAGACTGAGATGGAAACCACCCCTTTGCAAAAAGGAATTTCCCTCAGGTCTGGCCGCCGGGCCAGTCGTGACAAGAGTATGACCGTATGACTGGAAAGCTCATGTCTTTGAAGAATGGTCCCCTTGAACCACCATTCATAGATCGCCAGATTACAGATTGTAGGGGAAAACAATTCAACCAAGGGGTTATGAATATATCCTTCACATCCGATATGTTTGGGAAGGACCATGAGACCATCACAGAAAGCTACTCTTTGCCTGTGTTGCAGGGACGTCTTCCGGCCAGCCTGACTTTTGCGGATCATGGACCGGGAAGACTTCTGTGCCGAGTCAGAAAACTGCCTTAACATCACTTGATCAGTCGGATAATGTGCCAATAAAACGGAACCAATTTTGCCTACAGCAGTATACAAGTACAACAGAACACAAGATGCAGTGCCCATGGCACCTTACCTTTCAGAACTTGATGTGGCTGTGGGTCAAAACCCATATCCCCAAACCAGGGTAGGTTGACCTCCTGTGCGTCGCCCATTCGGTTCATTTTTGGTGGTCAACCCAGGTAACCTGGTGCCATGACCCACAGCCATGCGTATTTCAGGGTGTGACATGACCCTATTAGAACAGCTACGACGTCGTACCCTCTTTCGTACGAACTGAGACTCCAGGTTTGGAAAGACCAAGGGCTGTTTGGAGCGTTTGGGTGATGTGACTTGGAAGCGTCCGGTCAACTGCTCGCCGCCTCAAAAAACCAGGGCCCCGAAGAGAGGCACAAGTCCTACGATCGGGCCGATGGTTGGGCCCAGCGGTTCAGGTCCGCGGTGCAGCACGGTCCGAGAAGGTTGAGAGTAGAGGGCAAACCTCATGATATCACGGACTGGAATTCATTTTCGAGGTCTTGGTGAGGTTGCGTCATTTATAGATTGTTGCTTTTTGTTGTGGAAGTTTCACAGGCAGCCACCCCCACGTGGGGCCAAGCCAAGGTGTCAAGTCCGGACCAGCAGAACTGATCCTTAACAGTCCGGACGTTCAGAATCTGATGTAAAGACCTATTTTATTTATAGCATGTGTAGATGCATGAGGGATGCGTCAGACGCCACCCGTCTGACATGATATGACCATAATAGCCACCCGAAGGGACCATCAACATGTCTATTCTATCACAATAAAAGACCACTAAGATGATCCTCATCAGATCGTTCTTGGGAACAATCCCGACAACTTGAGCCATGCGTCGAAGACCTTCCAAGCCCAGCCCTTTGGACGAGGAGAGGGACTGGGAGGGAGAGGTGCGGTCTCGCGCGTGTCGACCCAGCGATCGGTCCATCGGCCACGCGGTGGGCATGGGTCAGATCATCCAAACTCGCCGGTTTTGGGGATCCCGAGTTGGAAGACCCATCCCCCAGTGAATAACGTCGTCGTCGTTATCCGAATATATTATATGGCTTTGGTTGCAGGTCTTGTTGGTGTCATTTCACTTCGCTCAGAACACAGGAGGACCATTGGTTTTGGATTCAATTGGGGATCAACACGGAGATGGGATGCATTTGGCAACCAACTCAAACTGGATGGCCGGATGGAGTGTTCTGATTTCGGGCGTGGCACTCCAGGTATGGAAGTTCGGCACTAGATGTGTCTCCAAACACTATTATATATAATTACACAAGACAATATCTATAATTATATATTATGTAATGTGTTGTTACATATTACTGTAGAAGTTGCAATAGCCACATATTCATGTCACAGTATATGTATGTTACATATTTATGCATATATTTATATGACGTGTTATTGCTAGGATGAGATGAGATTACTTGGATTCGGTTTGCTCTATGCCAGTGCTCCTCCGCTTCTCCGCAGGATGAGCGTGATGCGATCCGTGCCCTGGAGAGCAGAAGACACCGACGTTTGCCGGTGATATCATTGATGAAAGGATGCTACGAACGGGGCTCCTGGCATCCTACGAACGGAGCGATCGGACGCGAACCGAACGGGGCTCCTGGCACTACTAGGAACAATGTTTGCTATTAGAAACAAGAAGGATATCATTGATGAAAGTGGCTTTTAGATCCCTTCCTTTTTTCCCCTCCTACCCAGTCTCAGAAGTTGCTGTTGGATGGTTTTGCTCATGACCATCCATGTGTTTGTTCTTTAGTGTGCATCATGTTGCTTCTCACCATCAAAGAACAGGGTGAACTTTTGGTGAGTTATTTTGTGAGAAAGTGCGCCCCTGCAGGCGTGTCACACATTACCCGTGCCCGTACCAGAACTTTTAAGGTTGTACCAGTGGGTGTGGACCTGGGACATCTTGACAATCCAGGACCATTTGAATCATTTAATACTTGTTGAGATAGAAGGGGCATTAAGCATGTAGTGGTAAAGCGTCATAAATCGTCATGTGAGTGACATGCTGTTGTCCCATTGTGACGCTGAGGGTTTGCCCAATTCTCAGTACTCTATAAATTAGGATATATTTAAGATATATTGAGTTAAGTTACTGTAATGTCTATTTGTGTTTTGGAGGGACACCAAGCTGTTCATGTCAACCTGCAGGACAAGACAACTATCAGTGGGAGAGACGGAGGTTTTTGTATAAGAGACAACAGGGATTCTTGGAATAGGGACCACCTCCCCCACCATGCCATCTTGGTACTGTAGATGAAATTTCGTTTATAACTGGGTCTTCCTGCGGAACCTAACAAACGCTCATCCAGAATCCTTTAAACATCTCTATACTGAGAGAGAAGTTTTGTATACTTAGATATACAGGCCGTTGAATATATATATATATAGGCACTATAGACTATAGATGTATACTATTATATACTTATAGATATACTTAGTATACTTACTCTTGTCATATCCTTCCGGCCTCTGAACACCCCGTGGGAACACCCCCTCTCCCGGCTGCGAGGGATCCGATCTCCCGGTGCCCTGGGATGGCGCTTAGAGCCCCCATGCTATACACTCGAGCGCCTCGGACGTCGTAGGGGCGTGGAGGTGAGGCGTGGACGAGGGCGGGCGATGGAGCTGTTAGGCGAAGGAGGGGCAAGAAAAAAGCACCCGGCACGGGGGAGCACTGAAGGCGGGATACCCGGTTTCAACTGACTGCTTATCCTCCCTGCCGTTTCACGAAAAAAGAACTGTCAGAACCAATTGCTACCTCTGAACTTCCTGAATTTCATTCTATTTCCATCATGCTCACATCACCTTCAGACCCTTAATTCACTGCAACTCGTTGGATCTTCTCTTTCTGGTAATTGTTGACAGATTAGCAGCGTTCTCAATCCTGCAGTTGACTTTTCTACCTGTTCGGAATTCACCAGCGGACCCCGAGACGACTCAATCCGAGCACAAAGATTCAGTGTTCAGTACCAGCTTCCCCTTGCCTAGGTGTGAGTTCTTGTAGTCGCATGCGAGTTGACGAGTCTGTCTATTTTTGCCGCCAAAAATGCCGCAATTCATGAGACACATTAAGGGTTCTAGCGGTTCTACCTCAAATTATTGAAACAGTGAGAAACCTTCAACTGCAAAACATCACTTCTGAGGATCATAAGAGGCTCGAAGTCGTCCCACTCCGCGCCTACACTGCTGCATTCTTCTTGGCTCATGCAGATTGCTAGGGACAGGGACGCTTGCACTAGCGTAGGCCACACTACAGAGGAAAGAAGCCACCATCCACATGACCACAAGTGGTACCCGCTGAAAGTATCATCAGCAACAGCACCGTCATCGTCGTCACCATCAGAAGCAGCATAAGTGGAGCGCTATCATCATCAGTTGAATAAGAATCAGATAGATTTGATCATTTAGTGGAATCATTTGTCATCTTTGTCGAGAAATAATCACAGCATGTCACATCAGCTCGCCACAATGTAAGTCCCAGAAATCATGATTTCAATGGCACGTTGAACACTGAAAACTACTGTACATGTGTTTTTTCCTGTGTGTTTTGCAGCCTTCCACCATTCACCGCTGGCCACTCCACCTAGTGACTCCGCGAATTGCCCAAGTTGCAAAACAGAGGGGTGGCCCAGCAGCAGTCTCTTCAGCCATGGGTCTATGTCTAGGCTTTTGGCCACCGAACCTGTACTTTCTGGGCAGTGTCTTGCCAGTGGAGACAGTGAAATCATGTGACATGACATCCATTGATGAATCCATCTCTGTAGTCCAAGTGCTGTTTGTGCTGTTCACTCATCCTCCACAACACATGTTCACACTTATTGAACATTTATTTGTGTATAAGCATATTATATATATATATATCATATCCAATACTAATTATATACAGTATATAGTGTTTCAATAAACAAAACAGACACAGCTGCTAGTCTAGGTCATCAAAGAACCTTTGCAAGGAAAACTCCTCTTGGGCTTGGTCACTGTTCAAAGGGCCCTGAGGACCCAAGGAGGTTGGGAGCACAAAAGAGCTATTTATTGTAACCCACCACCAAGGTATTCGGTATTTCCATAACCCGCTACCAGTCGTGAGGTTTGCTCTACCTCATTGGAAGCATTTCCTATACGCTGGCGTCAGCATCAGCGCTCTTGGCCGCCTGCCATGAAGTTGGTGATGAGTTGGTTCACTCCTCTTGGATTGGACGTCTCACTCTGGACCTTCTCTCGCAGGTCCGTCTGAGGCCAAGTGGCGGTCATGGCACCAGGATAATCGAGGTCCCAGTGGAGCTACCTGGTGTTGGTCATTCGCTACCTGCTGTTGGAGGTATATTGACGAGTTTGACATGTTTTGACCCATCCCCAAAGTCTCTCTGGTCATTTTGGGTCGTTTGGGGTCGGGTCTCGCCCCACCTGGTGAGGGGAACCGTGCAGTGTGACCCTCGGACACTAGACTGGCCCATCTTGAGTGCTGCCACATGGGTGGAAGTCATTTGACATATTCCCTGCACTAGCTAAATTAATCAGGGGTAACCCTGAGGTACCAATTAATTTTTCTCGACCCAACACGAGGGATGAGGTGGTATGATACCTCGAGACGATCACATTCAACCCTCATTGTGAATCCTATATAGTGGTGGTTTATTTTGGATTTGAGCCAAGAGTCCTCAGGGGACTCTATACTATATGGCATTTGCAAGTTGATGGAATGCATGTAAAGCATAGCATTCTTTGACGTCTTCTCATGCAATATGTGTCACTCATCATTTTGCTTACGCGACTTTGTATTTTGGCTCAAGCACTGCGGAAAAAAGGCGTTTGCGCGTGGTGCTTGCCGTTGCTACACTAAACTACCAACTTTGGCTGTGGTTGGTGAGTTTAACTGGTTAACAGCCTCAGCTATCGCATTTCATATTCGTCATAGGGTAGCCTTGAGCCAGCTTTCTTGTGACAAACCCGCCACTGCTTGTGAGTCTCAATACTCGGATCCAAAATCGAGTTGAAAGGGTCCTTCTTGGGATAAGCACGTAGTGTGATTTCGGCATCCATTCGTTCTTCAGGCTGCCGTCAACAAAGGAAAGCCGAGTGTCAGATCCAAGGACTGCATTTCGGGCCGTGGGGCGTTGCTTCTTCAGCAACACCACATCGTAGGATAGGATCCGATTCATATCCATGCATATTGTAAGAGACTAGTTTGATCGCATCGTAAGATAGCCTTCACTAGTTTAGGTTCAAAGATCAATTAAAGTGCAGAACTCATAGAGCAAGGAGCTTAATCAGTGCATTTTGCCGATCCCTTGTGCTGCATCCAAAGGTTTGCATTAGTGTGATCTTAAGCTCATTCATTGAAAGAATCAAGCCGGATTCGTTGCATTGGATCAAAGGAGTTAGCTACTCTTGTTTCACTGCACGCATCCTTGTTCGCCGTTCGGCGTTGAATGCGAGCTCGCTCTCGATCACCCGCCGTCGACGTCGGCACACCGCTTCAAGACGTTGGCAGGCGGCTCAACGAAGCTTTAGATCGGTACAAGAAGGTCAAAGCTGAGAAGCGAGCAGGAAAAGATTTCCAGAGACGCCGCAAGTCGTTGGTCTTGACAATCCTTGAATATTACATTCACCTTGTGCAGATCGGTGTTACTGCAACAGACGGGGATCGAAAGTATATCAAGCGATTGAATCAGGCTCAGGAGACTTTCAGATTGGCGAAGTTTGAGAACAAGTTGCCTTTGCGATCCGGGCCAATTCTCCCTCGAGTGGAGGACGACGACGATCTTGAAAGCCATTGTGCTGAGAGCGTCTATCAACCACTGTCGGAGGACGAGCAAGAGTTGGAGCAGGACTTTGAGGGACCCATTGATCCACGGGGAACTTCGGCGTCTTCTTCAGTTGTTCCGGTGCCCATTGCATCTTCAGTGACCGAAAGGCCGGCGGAAGCATTGCTTGTGTTGCCAAAGGCGACAGGATCAAGGCCAGAGTTTTCTCGGTTGTCACAGGATTTGCATTCAGCATCGGCGGTTCCGACAGCTCCAATCGTGATTCCGGATCCGCCCAAGAAGGCAAGGCCAGTGTTGAAGACAACTTCAAAGGGTAGTTTACCCTAGAAGGCAATACCGCCAGTAGTGTTGCAGACAACACCAAAGGTGCGTGCAGCAGCAGCATTACAGACAACACCAAAGGTGAGCGCAGTTCCACAGGTATTTTCTTTATTCCCGATTGTAGTCCGCGACACTGAACCGATTGATTGGCACTATCTTGACGCGAACAGGGTCGAGTTGTACAGCGCACAGGGTCAAAGGATTCGTCCAGCGAAACGTATTGATCTTGGTGGCAGTGCAGTGTCATTAGACTTTCACCAGGTGTTGGACACATTTCGTGAGGGGAGATACGCAACATATCCGACTGCGGAGGAGGACGGAGTTCCGGCCAAGTCACGAGCGGCGGTTGACAGATTGAACCAATTGGGGTTCAGCGCCTTGGTGACTTCATACGTGCATTCGAACTGGAGAAGGGATTGTGTATTGTATTCTTCACGGACACTTCCTGTCCGGTACATCTTGATCACTAGAGAACCTGTTGGTCGGGGTGGAAAGGCAGATAGTCTCTCGAGGATCTTCACTGTTGGGAGGGACAGGTCGATTATTCACGTGGACGACAAGAAGGAGATCTATGTTGAGTTCAAAGGGTATCGGGATCAGCATTTCGGAATTGCTCATATCCAGGTGCCTCGCAAGCCTCGGCCAGAGGGTGTGAAGTCATTCAAGAACATTGATCTTGTTGCAGAGGCATTGCAGCAGGAGCAGGCTGCTCAGGCCGGATATCATCGACGCTAGTTGGTGTTCGCGCTCTCCATTAGGTTTGTGATTTGTGGAATTTGTGGTTGAATCCAGCTTGAAACATTGTTCAAACAATTTGATTTGAGCTGTTGCAATCCCATCGATTTCACAACCATATTTGCATCAAGAGTCACCCAACTAAATCACAAACGAGAACGTGGCAGTTCCTTTCGAGGGACACCGCATCGAGGGGTGAGTTCCAGTCCGCTTCGCGCGCCAAAAGTGGGATCATCCAAGGGTCAATCCGTGTGAACCCTACTTCATTTGTAAAGCAACTGTTGTAGCTTAGCGTTTTGCTTGTGTTCCCGATTGACATGCCGCAGGTATCAGAAATCATGCCAAGTGATCCAATAGGAATGGAGGTTTCAGCCGAGTCATCATCGCTGCAAATTTCGAGCACATCCCCAGAACCTGTCCAGAGTAGAGCCATGCATGTGAGGAAAACCTCCACCAAGGGTAGTCGATCGTCTAGTGCAAGTTCACAGAGGTCATTGCCCCCCCGCACAGCCTACTCATCGGAATCGGTCTCAGGGTATGTTGGCAGATCAGAGTTCGATCCGAAAGTCATCGCACAGCTCGAGTGTAAGCGGTTCGGAGCATTCCCATCGTGGTCCAGGGTCGGAACCAAAGGTTGAATTTCAGCATCACCAGAGCATCTTTGATCAAAGAACTTTGAATGTTCACGTTGGTGTTGATCCGTCCCAAGTGTTGCAGTTGCAAAGCAATGTGCAGTCACAGGTCCA